AATTTTCTTCTTGATTTTTTAAAAATTTATAAAATGGTTACTTTAGAGCTTGATACATCATCCCAACTTTTCAAAATTCTGCAGTACTGTGCTCTTGCGATCGTGGATTTAGTCATTTTTACAAGGTTCATCATTTTTACCGTATTTACATATGTAAACAACCTCTGTCCAGTTTGTGCGAATATATTCCTATATACTTTTAAATCATATATGCAAAGTTACAGCTCTAAATGAGACAGACAGAGAATGCTTTATTTAAAAACGTCACCAAACCCTTCTTGCTACCTTAAATTTCCACTTTTGTGACATCATGTCATGTTTGTTTATATACAGCATATGTAAAAAAACATTGTTTACATGAAATTTGAGTAGACCCTAAGACTAGTACATTATGTTACAGCAAGATTTTAAACTACTGGGTATTATAAATGAGCTACTACTGTAAAATACTTTTTTATTTTTGTTTGGAATCTATTTTTGTCATTTTCACTGAAGGAATGTTCAGTGAAAATAAAATGTAGCAAATATACCTTTTTTTCCTATGTTTTACATTCAACTCATTAGAAACATTAAAAACAAATTACATACAAAACCTGCAAATACTCTTCAGCAAAAATTCAAGCTAAAATAAAGTATTTTACAGTACTGTTAACTGCTATAATTTTTTGAGAGACTATTTTTTGTGAATTTTGCGAGTCAATTAAAGATCGTGAAATTTTTTCTTCACGAATGCCTGAAATTGTAAAAAAAATTATCGCACTTTTGAACATTTTTGTCACCTAATTTAATTTCTTCATATAATTTTTTCAACATTTTTGATCAAGAACTGTAAAGAATTGCCATTTGTGTACATATTAAGTAAAAGTTTTGGTGATGGCATTCACAGGGTTTATCAAATCATAGTCATGAATGCCCTAAATTGTCAACATTTCTTGTGGTGTAATGTTAATGTTTACACTAATCGTTTACAGGTGTTGGTGGTCAGATAGACTTCATTCGTGGTGCTGCATT